CTCTCAGTAACTTCTCTATAGGCGCTGCTAGCGGCTCCAAACTGGTGGTGCTGCTAGTAGAGGGTTAGTCGCCTCTAGGAGCGCTCGTCCTGGACTATAATGTAGAAACAAATCCAAGGGACTCGGTCGGTCGCCGACTACGCAGGATCAGAACAGTGGATTGAGATTCTGCAGCTGCTGCGAAAACTGCTGCTGCAATAGCCGTATCTCTGTTTCCTAACAGACCTGAATAGGACGAACACGTCGAAGGCAAAATCTCGAGCCAGCGAGCAAAGCTTAGGCCCTGCAAAAATACCCTCTAACGTATATATATATATATATATATATATGTATATGGCGATGATGGTGAGACTTCCATCACGGACAGACAGAAGTGAAGCCCGAGAAGAAAGAAGGGCCTGCTAAAGACGACTGACTGTGGTCCATCTGAATCCTCAACTCTGACATCGCTACCTATCGCATGGCGAGTAGGCGCAGACGCGACAGGCATTACTTGAGCACAGCAAGATGGCTATTGGCACGAAAGTTATTTATACAAGCTAACACAGACACAGATGCGCGCAGATCAGATCGGCCGAAACCGACAACACAAACGACTAAAGCCGCAGCAGGTTGAATGGAGATGGAATTTCTAATCTTGATATGTGGCGGCAGGCGAGGCATTTGATCCAAGGTTCCCAGCAAGCTGTCCCGCTACTATAGCACTCCTATTCAGTTCTGTGCGGTGCGCCTCCTGAGAGAACAAGCCTAGGTTAAAGAACAAGTAGATCTATTTTTCATATAGCGAGTAGACCTAGGACTGTGACGGTAGTCGGTTGTTATAGAAAACGAACTCCTGAAATCCTCTTCGCCTACTTCCTCGATCCGCAACACTGTTATTCCCCCCGTTGACCAAGTGCAGGAAACACTCCGCATACCCAGGCCAGTCGCCTCGCTTTTGCACAACCCTGCATACTCCTCACATGAACATAAGCCGTACCGCACCCGGTTTGTAAGTTAGTCGTAGATTGGCACTGTTGTGGTATGGCAAGATGGCCCCATGGACCACCGACATGCATAGACACCAACAAACATATAAATACACAAACTATCGGCTTCAAGTACTTCTCACTACCACTGCTGGCCCATGCTCATTCCACATAAGAGTCGCTAGGCGTCAACACCTTGCCATGGTCAGAGAGACACAGAAATTGTACGGGAGGACTATTACATAGCTACGAAAATGCAGCAATAGTGAATGAAATGGAATAGCAGGAATAAGCTATCCAAAAAGTAAAAGTCGGCTCCGTCTGTCTGAAGAGTGGATGTCTGCGTGAAACACAGTACTCTTGATCGACTTCTATATAATCCCTACAGCAGAGAAAAGATAAGCGGTGGGCCAGTCGTTTGGCTATTGCTAAAAATTCAACCTGAAGCGGTATCTCCGCACCGTAATTCGTAGTAGCCATGGCTGCTATGTCGAGTGGCAACTCGATGTTTCTTAAACCTGCAGGGAATCTCCTTGACGGGACGTTTTCTTAGCTTGCTGTATAACGGGCAGATGATGAATTTTGCTTTGGGTTATGTGAGACTTTACACCTTCATAGTTCAGAGTGAACGGCGCCGGAGAAAGGGGAGCGATGGGGGTTGATGAGGATAGACAGGTTGAGGGGGGCTAAATAAATAACCTATATATAAAGAGATATGTGTAAAAACTTATTACAGGCGATCGTAAAGAAAAAGATCTAATAAAAAATTTGTCCCTAAAAAACATCTGGTTTTTATGTCATGGAATCGATGGTCTTCCTTACATTAATGGTCAAATAATCCATGCCGAGCTTGGGAAGTTCCTAAAGGCATGTTATTTACTTAGATTATGAAAAGTATAATTGCAATAGGCATCAGTTGCAAAACGTTACACAGCTGGACGCCTGAACATCACTAACGTCGTCGTAAATCTCAGTCGATTTATGAGCAAAAAAAGTTGGGTCATTGAATTGTGGTCAAATGTATGTGTAATGGTTAAGGGTAAAATTAAAATTTTACCCTTAATCATTACACATATAAAAGCCTTATTTAGAGGCTGCTATTGCTCAAAAGAGATCGACAGTAGCAGCAGGTTATCTATGACAGTTTCTAGTCGGAAGCGAAATTACGCCTTTGTCTCAAATGGGTGGTAATAGCTAGTCACGTTTTGCGTCAGAAACATAATACAACCCCACCTGTAAGCGTATAGTGCAAGCGACCAAAGGGGGTGAAGATGGTGTCAGAAGCGAGAGTGAGACATGGCTTTTAATTTCAGATACCGATTACAGAGTGATTTCGGAGACTGAAATGTACGACCGAGGTCGTGCGGCCTGTTTGCCTATGTTTATATGGTCGAACATAAAACGAAAGGCCTACTTTTTTTTTTTTGATAGTATTTATACGGTGTTATTATTTTCACATTTCAATTTCTTCATCTTTTCTGTGAATTTTGTTCAGCTGTCATAGCAATGTACTCCAAAGAACGGGCACCCGCTACTGAGAATAGTATTTTAGCCTCCGTACGAATTAGCCACTATCTTATTCTTAGCCCCTGTCCAACATGTCTCTTGTCGGTCTTGTTGATGCTGCGTTTTCATACGTCTTTATCTGATCTTCTCTTACTGTTTCTGTCTATGTTTTTTGCCCCGTTTGTCACACTACAATACAAAAAAAATACATGCCAGATGTCTCAGTTGACGTTTACGGTATAATAAAGTCGCCAGCAGCGCGCGCGCTATCGAAAATGCGCTGAACGCTATACGCGTTCCGCATGGCGATCCCGGTCTAACATTTAACATTCATTGCTGATGGTGCCTTGACAGTTATGGTTCGTTCTGCTGACAATCATGGTTGGATTTTCATCCGTTGTTACTATTGCTAGTTATGAGAGCAGCGCTAATCCTAATTTGCGGTTCCTCTCATCCGCTGTTGTATGTCCTGCTGTGGGGAACGCAGTAAACAGAATAGGCGATTAGCAGTGCGGTAGTCATTCCGCTAAAAATAGCTCGTCGGCTTCTAGCAAATCCTAAACACTAAAAGATAGCCAGGACATTGAAAAGATCAGAGCTACTGAAAAGGTGTGTTCTTGGTAGCGTAATAGTAGAACAGGGCACGTAAAAGTCGCAGCATAGAAGGGTGGAAAGCAAAAGAATATGGCTGGAATTTTAGTCAATGACAAAAGGTCGATTCCATTTGCTGCGATCTGTTCCTGTCAACATGACTATCGGGTTTAACGGCTGCTTAGTCCTTCGTCCAGTTATCTAGCAGGAGAGGATAAGTCTATCCCAATTCGTTAGTACATCTTCTGTAAAGTCTTCAACAAGCGTTTGCCATCCCTTATAGAGGTCTGACGTATCAACAACAACCCTTCATAGACGGTACCGTTGTAGTCCCATAGTACGACTAAGATATGGTAGCGTTCTGCGAGTAATTGCCATCGGGCTTCACCATTACGGGATGTATTTTACCTTTCATCTTTTAGCGTCGTCTTCGGCGACATAAGGCACCTTTCAGTACTCGGGTCAGCAAACATAGCATGACGCGTCATACCTTTATGATGCGCGACATTCATTAACTCATTTTCTTCCGATTAACTTTGTTGTTTAACGAACAACACACAGTAATCTTTGCATTACATGTTTTGTGTATTAACCTGTTATTATTTATTACTTTTAAATGACTTGGTGCCTGTTCTCGTTTTTGTTATCACTCTTATAGTTCTCCTACTGAACTAGTGCCGTTTTTACGTGTACAGATCTGTTATTACGAATAAAGCTCTGACCTGAAAGCTGCACATTCGACAGCGCGTGGTAAAGAACTGACTTTCTCAGCATTATGCACCAGGTCGGTCAGGCTTTGTACGAGAGGTCGAACCGCAAAGTTGCATCTAACTGACGAAGCATTTTCGGTCCCGTTGGTCTTCGCAGACCATTGTTTACGCCTAGATCCTTTGTATAGGATACCGTCTGCTATTCATATACGTATGTGAAAATAGCACCCGGAAAGGTTTAAGTGCCAACGATACAGCGTACGTATCAAAACATTAACAATCTACAGTGATGATCACAACCATCCCATTTTGTCGAGACAAAAGTGACATATATATATAAGAAAATTACTAAACTTCGTCATACCCGCTCACAGTGGTGTCCACTGCATTGACGGCAGACTTATACGCTCGAACTCGCTTAAAATCGTGCGCTACAGACATGCTTCTTGCGGGACTATAGTAGAACTCCTTCCGTGCGCTGAACGAAAACGTCTTGCTTATATAGGATATGTACTGATTCAGTTTCGACCTTCGTCTGAGGCTGCGGCTGCAGACTAAGCAACATGGTGCAATAACCAGCTTTCATTGTTTGCCACATACGGCATGTAGAAGCCTCGCTCCAGTCCCCCTGGGCAAAGAGCTTCTAGCAGCGGTTCTTATAAAGCGGACCTTTTATTCGAGATTCATATCTGAATGCTTGTGCAGCGTTTGCTGTTATTGTTATTATAAAAGGCTCACAGGTGGCGGTGGCTCCCGGGACGATCGAACCGGAGCATGACTCTATGACGGTTTATAGTGATTGCGTCGCATCCCGGCACCTGCACGTTTCTTGCTAGCCTTATTACAACTATCACTATCCCACGTAGGGCAAACTTAAATTGTATGTGTATATATAGAACAAAGCAAAGGTAAAGCTGTCGCGAAAAGGAGAGAAAGCAATTAGATGATACGTTTCACTGTTCTGTTACATATTTTACATACGCTTCCATAAAGGTCAGCCCTGTTATTATCTAAGGAGCTCGTTTTGTTGTACTATAGTCAAAGGCAAAGTTCAGTTGGTTAGTGAAGGACGTCTGGCAGGCGTAAGTACTCTTGCGAGGTCGTTGTACGACTTCTCGTTTAGAGCGATATAAGCATATGCATATATATGCTTGTAGACTATACATATATATCTACAAGGATAACACATATTAATACTTGTAATCGATTTTTTTAAGTACTCCAATTCCATGTAAAACAAGTAAGTTTAATTAAAGTCGATGCAAAGTAGATTTGGAACACGTTTTCAATAACGGCGCTTATATTCGATGATAGGAGAGACAATGGCCAAGGTAAATTATCCACATGCACGACTTGGCGTGCGGCTAAACCTGTTGACTGTGAATGCATACATTTAATAATATTGCTGCCGACATATGGTGGCTGAAGCAAGTTTACGCATCTATATATTGTCACTCTGTTGCTAATTAGCGAAACTTGTCAAATTAGTTTTTGCCAACATAGATCTTCATATAGAAATCCAGGGCGTCGTACAGACAACGAATCACTAGCAGACGACGCTGCCCCGCATTCGAGTATATTAACATTAATAGAAGCGTTGGCACGTGCTCCTGTACGATCGCAACATCATCGAAAGTAAACCATGCGACTGCTTAGAAATGTAGCAGGGTCTAGTGATACGATGCAGGCCATATGATATATGAGCGTAGATCATGTTATTGTCTATGTTTATGTTATACGCGGGCATCGTTTTTTATCTTTTGTGGCTACTGCCTTAGCAGGGCTGTTCCACCGAATCTATTAACCAAAAGCTCCGGCCTCGTTTGAACTAACATCAACCAATAGGAGTAACTGGTTAGAGATGCCAATACGTACATATTTCACGATTCAAGCTAACTTCAATACGCAGCTGGAGACATCGAGCACTGTTCCCAGCAACACAAAAATCAAGCCAAAGTCGTATCGTTCTTTCATGTATCAGATTAGACATCGTGCACACCTCATTCGCTTGGGTTTTACTTATAACCTGTGTACGCACTCATGTACGATGGTGAAGAACGACAGTCCTATACGATAAAGGTCGCCATTACATAGATTACTTCGACGTGTTCAGCCGCACTTGAAAGTAGTGGCGCCGAAGCATCAGCAAAAAAACGTGGGTAGCCACCGATGCCCTATTGCTGAAGCAGAAAAATTGCGCGTTTATGAATGTCATGACTTGTGCGATAATAGAAGCTACTGGGGAAGGGCAAGAGCGGTTGGGCCTGTTGGCCTGCAGAGAGTCTTAAGTCAAAGGTAGAGAGAGAGAAGGCAAAAAACTGCCTCGATTCCTGCGGAATCCGAACTTGAACGGCAAATAGGCCCAATGCAGTCAAGGTTTGACGGGCGTCTCGCAGCATTTGACGCAATTTATTCGTATTTGGCTTTTGTTGAATACCTCCCCAGTCATCCCTTTTTGCTGCAAAAAAGCAGCGAATCAACACACTAGTCTCTACTATTTGTATGTACTATAGAATGAAAAACAGAATCATGCATTGAAAGAAGTCAAAAAATAACAAATCGGCTCAACCTATGCAAGCTCCTCTCCACGTAATAAGAAAAATCCGAGACGTGAATGTGTACATAGGTAGTGAGATATATTGATATATGAACGCTTGTAAGAAAACGTGGTGGCGACCAAAAACACATACAGCTCACTGAAGAGAGAGACGCAGCGTTTTTGCATCTTCGAGCGAGGTTTCTGTAGCTCTCGGGCAGGCGTAGTCCGGGATCTTCATCAGCGTTATTTGGGACTTATGGTCGAGGGTGCCAGTGGAACAGTGGCGCTGTAAAGTATTGTGATACAGAAATTCTTCGCAGATGCGTGCGTCAACGTAGTAATAGCAATGTGAAGTCTTTGTATCCACCAGGGACTTGCATCCGCCACGTGGACACGGGACCACCAATGTGGTTCATATTTGACTTGATGCTATAAATTTACATTTATGTCGCTTCAAGTGATGGCTTTAACATTTTATATAATATGGTTCAAACATTTCAACATATATTAAGAGAGTGGTTGTCACCTATTGCTAAAATTGCGTGGAGAAGAAATCACTTGCGGGTGTCGTTTATGACGGCAGACTTACACATTAGAAAACACTTATCTGATCTAGCCAAAGCTTTCGTTTTTTTCGACAAATAACATACTTACCGCACCTACCAAGAGTATCAATTCGCCTAATCTTCTCGTACCTCCGAAGCGAAACGCTGTGGATGTACGAGCGTAGCGGTGTGCCAGGCGTGCATTTCATCGTACCGAAGACACTAGGCTATGACCTGCAAGCACATAGTAATAGAGGCTTCTATCTACCTTGAGACAATTTACATTGCGCGCATCAACACTATCAATAAATAGCTATAAATGCTAGAAATTGGACACTGGAAAGTTCGAGAAGGACGACGCAAAGTCCGCATCCTTATCATCCGCCTATATTATGAGCCGAACGTAGGTGATCGGGCCGATTAACAGGCTGTTTAATTGACTCGCGCTGAATGAAAGGGACCGACGAAAAGTAAATCGTCCTTTGTACGCTACACTCACTAATAACACACCACAGTTGTCATAGTCGATTACTTCTGAAACATGCGGAAGTGGAAAAGACAGGCCTTATAAAGCGCAGACTAACTTTAGAACGCAGTATTTAAGCCGTTGGGTATTTGATTTGAACAACACAGAGCAAAATACTCCTTTTTAGTATCACAAGCGTGAACCCCCCCCCCCCCCTTACATTTACTTCTTCAATGCTCTTACCGATCTTTTAACACAGCCGTAAAAAAATTCCGCGATTCAAATGCCAATAAACCCGTTGCTGCTGTTGAAAGTGACATGACGACCGGAGCAAACGGACTGCGTGGTTATCGCCAACAACCATAATGTCGAGCCCATCAATCCGATACGGGATTTGGCAAGTCAAGACGTTGGCAAAGACGAATGTGCCAATGTATCCTGCCAGTTACCCTGCTTTAATCTCCTAATAGTGTCTTGTTGTTTGCCATTGTTATCAAGAAATTGTGAAGCCAAAACGTATACAGTTGTTCCTCCTCGCTCACCTGTAGTCGCCCGTCGAGACAAAAGCTGTCCATTAAAGCTTCCTGTGGCTTCAGGACCAGACGCGAGCTTCTATGTCAATCTCAAAGCAACATATGGACATACCAGTGTACGACCATATAAAGATGACAAAGTACGGGTGTCGTTTCGTTAATGGCAGTGAAAGCAATTGCAGCAGCGACAGCCTCGCATGTCGGGGCAATAATATTCGCGGTAAAGCCCAAGCAAAGCAGTTGTAGGTACTTGAATTTGCTTTTAGCGGATCGATAGTCCGGTTGCGTAGTGGTGGATTTCGGGAAGACTTTAGTGATGTCAGTCCCGACATATCAAAAAAAAAACTGCGAAGGAAAATGAAATCGGCGACATATATTGAGCGAGACTGATTTGACATTGAGGTTTTCGCAATGCGCCCAGCAGGTTTAGCTTTTTCTGTTTTTCTCTTTAAGTCCGTTTGTGCCTGTGCCTTTGGAGCATTTTTCGTCTCGTTGCGAGGGCGAATTTTCCACGAAGCGGAGCTCACCAACCATACTAGTACGTCGGTTATCATGCCATGCCGATGCTTTACCATTCATAACAAATAGTGATATTTAAGGTCTGTTGACCCAATAGTCGCTATTCGATGGATACGGTAGTACTAATGGTCGTTATGGCGGAGCAGGGGCGGATGGTGATCACTGATCCCTAATACCTTCTTTTTCTGTCTGCTCGGGCCTGTTGTGGCCGGACTATGAGTATCGAAGCACCTCTGTATAGCTCTTGGGCGGGCGGACCGCAAGCTGGTCTCTAGGTTCGGCTTCTTTATAGTATCCGCAAAGCGACCCATGGATCGGGGAGAGTTTAAAGGGCTTTCAGCTTGTGGGCGCTACAAAACATGTTCGGTCAGCGGATTCGTATACATGTGAGTGTGCGTATGTTTATTTCTGAGTTCGTACACTTTTGCGCAGTATGGTCTGGAGTTTCGCATTGGTTCGCGCTGCCCCCGCCTCTTCCGTCATGTCAGCAGCAATGGTTAAAGTGCGGGGTTTGAAAGACAAGCAAACGAGGTATAAGGGAAGTGAACAACGAAAGCAGCCTCACCACTTTCAATCTCACTCTGCTTGTCGGATCTAAAGAAATGTGGGGTTCCACAAGCCGACGCCGGAGCAGTCAAAGAGGAATGAGCTGAGAAACACCGCTGCTCATATATAATCCGTAATGTCTAGACCATATGGCCTATACCGTTTTCTGCCCCTCTACCTTTGTAGAAATACGGGGCAGTTGAAGAGGCTTTGCCACACAGTAAAAGTCCAGGCGCAGTGTCCAAATAACGGAAGGGAATGCCTCCCTGTACGAGACCCCCATAAAGGAGCAGCGAGTGCCAACGTTTGCTCATGAACACTGGCTTCGGAAGCGGCCTTCCTCTGCTTGGTTTTCTGTTAGCTAGCTGAGTGGCACAGTTATCGATAAGGAGAGATCGGTACAAGTTAACCATACAACCAAGCAGGGTTCGCATCGAAGCGGATCCCAAGTCCCACTTTTCGGCAGCGCAGTAAGCCAACTCGCCGGAATCTGTACCACGGTGCATTCCGTATGGACAGCGCCTGTTGGAAACGGAGCCCCACCATAAGGACGCGCGCTGATTTTGCCGCATACAATTGAAGTCGGTCGATTTTTGCCATACACAATATAATGTTACCCCCTTTAGGAAGCAACGAATCATTGTGAGGCACTGGAACTGCCGATGACGGTTCAGGAATTTAGCAGGGATGGTCATTTGATCCGATCGTAATGAGATTGCCGTACTAGTAGTAGTCGTGTTCGTCGCGTGCACCGCAAGCAGTACCCAATAGTCTGTGTTGATCGCGGTGTTCATCGGTTTCACGGGCGCAAAGCAAAGATATAGCGGTACTACAAAGCAAAGGGCAAAAAACAAGAAAACGATGAGAAGTATTAGGTCGAAGGAAGCCGGTTCCGGAACAAATGACTTTATCGGAGGAGGCTTCTAATATATCTCGCGCATTGACTACATTATTAGCACGTTAATCATAGAGTGGTTGAAGAAAGAAAGAATCGGCATTGGAGCTCACCAGAGATTGCCTGACATTGATATTCGAACACTGCGGTATAGGAACAAAGGATGTTTGTCACTTCGATTAGAGTTCAGGGTAAGGCTGAATATTATATGAGTTGTACTAATGACGAGGGCCGCCGTTATTTTTTTTTGAGATATATATCAATGTTTAGTTTTCTTTTTGGTTTTGATGCATACTTTTTTTACTTTCAGCGATTTCTTGCGGTTACAGATCTGACCCCCGCCTTAATACATTTGATTTCCCTTAGACAGATAAGGCATGTAATTGTAAAGATATAGAGCAAGTTCGTTGTACCATTGAAGAGAAACACGTATTGCTACCTCGACGGCGAAGGTCCTGGCGATACCTAAATTAAACACATCAGTATACTCAACAGCCTGCGGTGATCTGGCGGATGTTTGATTTGTGAGTCGGCCACATACGCAAAGCACGGTCAATATTCTGCGTAGACAGACCACTACCATAACGTAGCTATGCTATACTTATAGCCTGCATATTTCCCTAAAAATTGATTTTTTTCGCGCTCCCCGGAGACATCTTCATTCGATCGTCTACCAGTCCTTCCAGCCTCTATCGGCGGAATTGTTATCCTCAATCCTGCTAATAGCCAGAGAGACTGAAAAAAAGAAAATATGGGAAAAAAATACACATGGAGAGGAAAATGGAAGGAAATCAGCCGAAAAAGTGGACAGGCATGGGCGCGTGGGCGGCCCTTTTCTGAAGCCACAACATGAAACGACCTAGTCGAAGCCGAAGATACACGCTGAAGTCTACACTGTATCCGACTCTAGAGGCTCTATGCTTTGATCTCGGGGGAGCAGGTTGTGTGAAGAGTGTCGGGGCCAGATCATAGCCAGAAAGCAGCCTACTCACAGTAATATCCCGTCTTTCTAACAAAGCTAGTTTGCCGTTAGTCTCTGTCCCGCTGTTGCTGCTGCTGTTGTTGCTGTAACTTTTTGTTGCAGACGCATCTTGGGCAGGTGGGCATCGATTTTCGAATTGCCCGATCTTGCTCGTCAACCTTTTGTCTCCGCCGCCCTTTGTCAAATCCCTGCTGTATCCTTTTCAAGCTTCTTTTTTCAGAAACTATAATTTTTGCTCTTCTCTTCAGGACTGGAGCTAGCTTTTTACCGACAGTCTCTAACATTCGACAGGAAACCTGGCCATTCGGCCTGCAAGCGGCAACTTCCACGATACCAATGCGTCCATTTGCATTCAACCACCGGCATCGAGCAGCAAAGCAGACTTTGAACCAACCGAGATTTGTGTTTTATTGCACGAAGAGGCGGCGAGAGAAAAATGGGATACGAAAGCGCAACATTGGGCTGGGCTGTGAGAAGTGGCTAAAGGAAAAGGTAGAAAGCATTTTTTTTTCTTTATACTTTCACCGTGTGCTGCTACTGCTTTTGTCGTTGTTGTGGACCCTTTACACTACACAGTTGTGGAATTGAGCCGGTACCACTGGTTGGCTTGGGTTGCCGGTAACCTCTGTTTTTCTAAGCAGTCAGACGTACTTTTCTCTTTCCACCCCTCTTACGCACACATCCGCCGAGACACGCAACCCCTATGGTGAACAGTAGTTGGTGCAGTGATGAGGGCAGACAACGGCGGCTGACGACTTCCCCGTTTCCGCTGCAGACCCTACCTTATACGATCCCTATTGGCAGCAAGTTTTCTCCAAGCCCTGAGGGGGTCAAGTCTGCTGTGTACATCCGATACTCGTTCCAGCCCAGCGGAGCACACCAGCAAAATTCGCGCTACAGTGCAACGGGCTTAGCGATCTCTGCCAAAGATAGAGGTAGGGGTAAAGATCAGCAGTTTGTCGGCTGCCCCAGTATGAGCGGAGGAAAAAGAACTAAGGGCAAGCAGACAGGGCGGGGAGATGCCGAGCCGGGCAAAGGAAAACGAGCGTTTTTCGAGTCCCTCAGTCCACGCAAGTTTTTTTTGGTTCTTTCGTTTCATATAGTCCTTTTTAGTGCTCTGCGCCAAGTATGGAAGAGATGCGTTTCGTTTGAGATCTTCCTGAACACATCCTGAGTGCAGCAGCACGTAGTGGTAAGGCACGGACGTCGACAGGCTCTTCGTGTCTCGATGCGGCTGCTATCCTTTCCAGAAAGGGAGAAAGCGTTTAGGCAGTCCTGCCCCAGTTCCTGAACTTTTAGGTAGGACTCTGGTCATGGCTGCCGATGCGGCTGTTATGAAAGCTGCTCCAGTCTATTTTGCTTCAGCGGAGGTAAACGAAGGCGGTAGCCTCAGTTCGTACGTTGTCCACTATTGGAAACGTCTTTTTGAGTCTCCTAAGGTAGTCAGCACCCGTCAAGGTGCGTCCCTGCAAGTACTGGGATAAGGGTTCGCTACTGCTCCAGGATGCTTTCCTTATCTATCTATTGATGAGGAAACGTGACAGGAACACCCAGGCATCGACTACGAAGGCAGACGGAAATATATGTACAAACAAAGACGCACATACAAACGAACAAACTGAGCGAATATAACATGTCTACGGCGGTCTGACAGTATCAAGTGAGCCGCAGGGAAAAGCTCTCGAGCATTGGGGAAAGAGAAGCGGGGCAGCTTATAGGATTCAACCCACCACGCTTGCCGGACAACTGATGCTTCTCCGCCACGCAAGTGTAATATCTATTAGTTGTGCGCACACGACGACTGGTCCATTGAATTCTATTGTAGGTTGAGTCGTTACCACTTACCAGTGTCCCTTATTCTGGATGAAGATAACTAAGAGTGGACGCAAAAGGGTCCTCGTTATACACAAACATACAAAATACAAAGACCTGGGTCATCTGGTAATTCAGAAAGGTTCTTCCCATAGCGATCCGAAGTACGAAGTGACGAGGCTGTAGACGCAATACTTGTTCAGTCTAAGAGCACTGAAATAAATTGTGCTTTTTAGAAATAAAGACTTGAAGGAAACAAAAAGTTTGTAGAATCAGTTGGCCTTGCCATCTCAAACACAACGCAACTCCTTCTGGTAAATAGCGGACTCGTTATGCTACGTCGAGTTTATCGCTATCGTATGTCCCAGTCAAGTGGATATGGTAGTAACTAAATAGAAAAGGTTTTATTTTCCTTGCCGTTATACACAGGGTCATCACCCGAAACAAGGATATATATATATTCATATAGCACATACAATACACATTTCTCCACCCTGCCCAACTGCCCGTTCAAGCGAAAAGTCAATTTATAAGCACATCGTAGGTGGTACATCGATAAAAGATAGAACCGCGTTATTTGATGCCAGGGTACGCTTAGACTGTTAACTTAGCGGCGCTTCCGTTTTCGTTTTCAGCACTCGTGTGGGTACAGAGAATTAGATAGAAGCCGGGATGTATAAACCTTTCAGAGAACTTTAAATGGCAGGCCAAATAGAATGGACCTTTAGGCTACTTCTGGCTGTGCATAAACGAGAAGAGGAATCAGTTGTCGTCTTTTCTCCTAAGCATTAGTGCCAGGACTAGCGACCAGACATAATAAAACAAAAGTCGTCGAGACGGCTAGATAAAAACTTGAGAAAGATGACCCCCGCCCACCACCACTGTCCCCTTTGGATTGTCATAGGTTTTTCTCCACATTCCCCGAATTATTCGTCGTGCGCGCCGTTTTCTAGAGTACACTTATTGTGGAAGTACGGGTGCTCGGTGTCGTCGCTGTTGTCAGTAACGTGGACTTGCAGGGCGATTCCAGCCCGGTGCTGCGACAAACACGGCGTATAGTAGTAGTATAGTAACTCCGCGTATAAGTGGCACGCTGTTTATAGCTTTTTTTTTAGTGAGACTTTCCAGGATTCGATGGCTGTATCCCTCAGCGAGTGCCAATTAAGCTGCTAAGGCCGGCGCTGGGAGCTACGAACGAATCAATGGTTCAGACGAAAAAAAAGCCCCATTTTCACTTCGCTTCGCAAAGGCGATTTAGCAAATGTACAAAATGTTTAGGAAATTCGATTTAAGGAAGAAGTTAGTTGAATGCTTGTGGTCTAGTTTACGATCGTTATACTCGGCACGCGTAAATCTTACGCGTAAAATGATAATATGGATCTAGAGGCAAAGATAAATCTACATCACTGTCAGCTAGTTGAACAGGTCATCGTACAGAACCGTTAAAATGATCGCCGATTACAAGGCAGTCTGCGACCTTAAAACGCTAAGTGATTGTTGAAAAAGCGGAGAATGTAGGTAACTACTAGGTTGGAACTCAAATACATTCGGTTCATTTTTGATCTTTTTTTTTAATTTAATATCTTTACTGTTTGTTTACTTTGAAAATGCACTCCCTTTCTCTGCCTGTTATAACTTCATTATACTGTGAAGGGAATTTTATGTCGAGTTCAGGCTTCAAAGAGCTTCCAAGGGAAAGATGTGTACTTAAAAAAATCTACTCTGTTTCTCCTTTTACTGAAGTCAAACAGCTGTTGATGCAGCCCAGAAGATTCGTATTGTATACAGCAAGAACTCCATAACCGAGAGGATTGATTAGAATTCTTGTGTGGATTGAGCAGAATGATTTGCGACGTTTAGGAATAGCACCTTGGAACTGCAGGAAATTCATGGCCCCGAACGGCTCTGAAGTCGATGAGGACCGATAAATGGCTGTTTTGAAGGAGGACGGCCGGTAAACAGTTTGTGGGTAGCAGAAAGGTCAACTGCGGTCATATAAATGTTAACAGTGTACGTTAAATCTATGAGGTTTATTAACAAGTTAGGTGTTTGGCTCTTTTAGGAAATAAGTGATCAGCACAAAAAAACATGGCTTCTCATTGCCTTTCAACATCTCGACCGGCACCAAACAACAGATAGCGATAATGACTGCTTTCTACATAAAATTGCCTCCGGTAGCCAAACGCGGGATCTCCGCATCGATATATAGCGGAGAGAGGAATAGGTAGCTCCGTGAGGTACGCTCAGACTCACATACAAGCTATATTTTCATCTTAAAAAGGAGATTATTCGTGTTTGGTGGGACTGGAAAAGTCCGATACACTGGGAAATGTTTAAGAAAAACAAGTCAGTCGACAGGAGTGCACTGTATATGGTGCGCTGAACAAATGAGGCTATCCTATAGAAATAGTTCGATAGACGAGTCATCTTTCTAAACAACAATGTCAGGCCATACACGGTTAAGATCGTAAAAGCTGCCTTGCATTGGCTTGATTGAAAGGTTTTTGCAATCACCATGTGAACCAGATTTCGCTCCGGTTATTGTTTTTTTCTAATCACTAGCAAATTAAATTGATAATTGTACATCTGCCACTCAGGGGTGTCCTAAAACCTGACTTGTCGAGTCAACACCAGACCTGGGGGAATTTCTAGGATAAAAATTAATTCATTGAAGGATAAGAGAAGGTCGTAAAGGGTATGGGCAAATAGAATATAAATAATTTGTTGTCAGGATTCGAGAGAGCTGGCTATTTTGCAAGCTCGAAAAAGCAGAATCACCTACGTTCCAAACGAGCATATAGCATTAAAGACTAGCCAAGGTATAAACAGAAATTTTAGAATACTTGACACAGTTAGTACCATAAATGAGACTCCAAGAATGCCAAATATGATTTTGGTTTTGATATCGTAACGCCAGTTTTCCAGTAATGGCTACACTTGCCGTTACGGGACTCTCGCTTAGAGTCGTAGCATACTGATTTCAGCTGTGCGGATATGCTTGCTCGGGACGCATCGTAAAACAGCGAGCAGCGAGGCTCTAGGCCGAACGGACGGTAGCTTTCATTCCAGAGACACGACGCAAGTCGTGGATAGGGAAGGTTTCAGGGTCAAGACAGACTCGAACGTTTGGAGGGTTCAAGTCCTCAGGAAACAGACCGTTGGGTTGGACAACTGGCGGCACGTCGAGCGAGCAGAGCGAAAGGGGGAGACATCCCTTAGCCAGCTACTGGGACCCGTTCATCTGAAAAATTGGAGAAGATAGAGATGCGCTCTCTTTTCCATGCTGCCACTGCCGTTTCCACCGCTGGCGATGCGGACGCCAAAGTTACGATATACGAACTTCGGACCGGGAATACTTCGAGCCGTTCCGCCCGTAGTGGTAATACGGCCTTCATAGCGACTACTGATACCCGTCGCTTTGACGACAGCGTTTTCTCTAGAAAAGGAGAGAGGAACGAGAAACTGAAACGCATGTGGTTCGAACCTTGGATGTCGACTGCGCCGGAGTCTTTACATCGTTTTGGGCTAGCTTCCGAGAAGCTTTCAGGCTCTTCGGAAAGGTTCGTTTCTTCAACTACTTGCTTTTCTGCCGGCGGCTGCCTCTTTACATCTGTCGTTGATGCTTTCCTGCCGTTTTACCCAGAGGCTGCACTCTAGCATATCCAGCGTTGCCTTAGTCTCGAGGATTCCAGTCGCTAGCTAGAGTTTTAGAAAGCGTCGCTTAAAAGGATGAAGCCGCAGTCCTGTAAGGATGAAACAGTGAAAGATACTAGTACGCATCAAGACGTGGGAATGCGACACTTAGAAATGTTCACTGGCAGAATCGCGAGCGGGGAAAGCGTTCGAGCAAACAAGCCCCCTTGAGATGGAAAAGGGGGAACTGAGAGAACTACGGAGACAAGCAACCACCGGCAGGATTTCCGCGGATGTAGCAGAATAACTAAGGTCCATGGTGCTGCTAGTTTCAGTCTGATATTTACTATTTCAGAAAATTGGGAAAAGCACGGTCTAGTGACAGGCCGGTGCACGGGATAGTGCCTGCAGCACACCGAATTGAGTGTAAAGAGGTTGAAAGACGGAAGAAAAACGTTGAGGGACGTATCTTCTGTTTTTTTTTTAGATATGTAGATGCTGAAAACATGTTAGTTGATTGGTCGGGAGATGGAAATATATAGGAAAATTTCCCTTAAAAAGTTGAAGAACGAAAACTAGACGATACGCTAATGATAACTTATCGTACGCAAGCAAAAGTGACTATGACTTAATACTTAGATAAACAGTGAGTATAAATGTTTTGAACAACATACTGTATCATGAAAAATTATGTGTCAGCATACAATGTACGTAAACAAACAGTATTCTATGCACCCATCGAATATTTCGTTGGAATCTACTACCGTATATTTCGTATATAATGTTATTTTGTTATTTCGCAGCGTATGTTTCGGAGAGATCATCGCTTAATAAGCAGTCTAAAAACAAGTGTTTTATGCTGTTATAAAGTCTGTAACTAAAGTGCAAAACACTATATTAGTTCAGACTGATATATATAAAAAACATGTGACACTTTTTAGCCGCGAAATATCCTACATGTATAAAGCCATACCTACTCTTTAAAATATTAATAGCTATTGTGATCCACTTAGTTTCCCGCTCGAAGGCTGATTGTTATTCCGTTATCTCCTATCCCTACAAGTAAAACACTGATGAATAAGGAACTTCTAACATACCCAGTTTTTCTATCATTATATACACGTGACGGCAATGCTAAGATATCGTTCATGTTAGCATACTCTAGACCGGCACCCATTACACTATCTGTTTCGACTGTTATATATCCGGTGGTGGCCATAAAGTAATTCCATTCTGTTATAATTAAAATGTACTAAAAATAGATCCAGTCGTAGTATGTAAACAGGACAGAGGCCTTCTCTATGAAATGTCTACACGAGCAGAACAGAGGGGCATGCCTTCAGTTTCTAACGCAATTAACCCTACAGTGATCCGACGTGTTTGACCTGCAAAAACCATGAAATTAGTCAATAAACGTCAGTACAGCGGGAGAATTAATCATCATAAAAGTTAGTGCGAGACGTGATTAACTGCGAACTAAAAAACGGTATCAAAGGGAAAACTAACCTGTTAGATAAAATGAATTTGGGCCTTTGTCTATTTTTCGTTATTTTAGTGTCATGGAAATACAGCCGACAAACGTTAGATAGTTACTTACAAGAGGACATAGACAAGCAGGTCAAACGAGATCTCAGCAAAAATTCCAGGTGTCTCACGCTCACAAGTAAGTAATAGTACAATTAGGAAATAAAACAAGTCCTAGTGAATTTTAGTCCTACATGATAAGAAAAACACACTAGATGTTTTCTTACGGCCTAAAAAAACCATATATCAACTATTTCTGTGGCATTCATTATCAGCAGTCCATTTCCGAGTGCCTGTCCACCATTATTGTCCAATAACAGTTTATTCGGCCATAATAACACAAGATAGGTGAAAGAATTCCTGTTTGATAATAGTGAATATTTTTTTTTGTTTTCTATTTAGTTTAATAGTGGTAGGATTTGCTTTTCTTAGTAAATAAAAATCTTATATCTTTTTAACCCAATATATATGCTATATATGTAATATGTATTGAATAACCTAGTTATGTCAGCTTTCTAGCATAACAATGACCAGCGTACTCTCTCTTCACGCTTCTGAATCATCTGATAATAGTCACGCTATAAATGTACCACAAAAACTTAGAAGAGATAACTGAAAAAAATCAATGGTTGCAGTCACGTGTGCAATTTTGGCAATAATACGCAGTTGTATGTTGTTACGCCGTTTCCTAGTAAGTCAGTATGAATAAAGGAAAAATTTATGCAGCAGTAGCAACATAATGAATCAATTTTGGATTCATAAATGGTTCTGCCTTTCGATAATAACGCTCATACATCCTGGGCTACTGTCGTTGTGAGGTTTTCCTCGCTAAGTCGATAGTCAGCAGCTTGCCAGCGGTCGGGATTCGTATGGAAGGGCGAAAAAAAGCACTGTTTTAGTACAAGTTTACCAGCCGATGATAGCTAACGTTATAATAGCATTGTTAATATCAGCTGTTTACTTCGGAACTAAGTTCCAGTTCCCATGCCATTGCATTGGAGACGTTTCTATAAGCACGGCACGCTTCTCTAGTATGGGCTCATTGTTGACAGGCGTGCGTACTTACGAAGACTACCATAGAATTCGAAAAGCTGATCTGCCTATAGTAAGTTGATTTTGTGCAGATTTCAGCGCCACGTTCCGTCAAATTTTCGAGGTCAAACGCATGATTAGCTCTAGGATGATTGTGCAGTCAACTTCCTCTTATAAGTCACGCAGTGAGTATCAATGATTCAAATAGAAAAGCATTGGCGTCCATCCAGTAACTTGCGTACAGCTCGGCGACGCATCCATTTGCGAAAAAGTTGATCACTGGTGCACACTTCGTGTATCATATCAACTTATTCTTTCAGTACTTGAGAAAAGTTGATAGTACTGCTTGTAGAAACCTAAGCTTGGAAAAAAGAACGGAGAGTTTACTGTCTTTCTAAAACACTCAGGGATTTAATTAATGAATGCGAACCCAATATCCGTCGTTTGCCCCAATATAACCCAATATAAGTCGCTTTGCTTTCTAACCCACTTGTGCCTTGTTTTTCTTTAGGTCGTTCATCGTGATCGAACAAAAAAACCTTAACTGCGTTTCGACGGACCTTTTCTCCAAGGTTCAAACCGGACGCTGTGGACCTAGGCTTATAGCATAGCTTATCTCACTGGCACGCCAACCATTGGAATGAGCGTAGCTGAGGGTCCTCCAGGCGCCTACAGTGCGCAGAATTCAGTCTCTACTGACCGATTAGATCAACCAAGTGAATGAGTTCGGCAATAAGCAAATAAAGAAACGAAGCATCGCATGCGACTAAAAATGTCCAGCGCATTTGAGCTTCCAACCGGCCATGGCGATGCTGGTGGTGGTGGGTGAATTATCGCTACGGAAACATGGGACAGTTGAAAATTTTGTATAGTGATTCTGTCAAGAACAAAGCTTCAGTCGCTCGCAGACGATGGTGGCAACCCCAAAAAAGAGCTTTGGAAGGTCTCAACCCAACCGGATATATAGCCCCGCACATATATATGCAGTTGGATTGCGCATATATATATATATATAGAGACGAGGACAGGACGAGTCAAGAATAGAGTGAAAAAGGAAACTAGAGTGGGTCCCTGCACAGAAACCAATGCAGAGCCCCCGTTTCGTAGGTTCGATTTGGCATAGCTTAGGGGGCAATCCTTCATTACCCAATTGCATTAAGCCGTGCCAGAAGAGTCGGGCATACAGTCGGCAGTTTGGTGCGCGCGCGTTCAGTTAACTTACTGTTAAGTTTTTCGAATAGCTTTTCTCGGATTCTGAACGAGCGTCAAGAGCCCAGTGCAAATAGCTGCTTTGCCATAGTTCGTAATATGAACATTTGCGAGATCCGTCTATGGCTTCCTGACGTCATATCGTCAAGGCAACGCGTGCAGGTCGAAAGTAAGGTACGGTACCTAATCTGTTACCGGGTCTTTCATTATTGGCTGCATCATAATGTACAATCACCTTAGCTTTGGTCGACTGCCGTTTTATACAAAATGACGCCAATATCTCCTCACCTCAAATGCGTCCACCGTACTGATTATGCGGCGACACGCTGACTTCTGCTGCCATTGCTTCAACGACTCCCCCTGCCTATGGCGGACTGCGGTCGAGGAGTTTGTGTTCAGTACTCCGTATATGTTTGTATATTTCTTTGATTCAATTTTCGGAAACTTGTGATATATTATCAGTATATTGTCTCATTTATGTGTGATCAATTCTCATATACTTTCGTATTCACATAGAAAATGTACGGGCTGTGTCATGTACGATATGTGTACATATGCTGTTGTAAATATTGTTGAACTACTAAGTACATATACAACTTTAATTGCGTAGTCTTTCATCCAGACAGAGCAAAATGACCCCTATCACTACAGACCTACTCACGATCCTTATTTTAGATTGCTCGTGGAAAAATTGCATTGCTATTCCAAATGATAAATAATAACTAATGTAAATCAGGTTGCACACTATATATATGTATATATAGTATGCAAATTTATCTTGCTTAGTTAAAACGGGAATAATCGACCCAGAATAAAGACATCAAAAGTAACCCACACATACGTGCGCATACTTTGCTATCCATTGATGTCGCTTTTCTATTTTTACTTGCAAACCTGTCACTAAAGTGTATCACTGTTATTACTGTTATTATTTTATGAAGTGCACATGGTTCCCGGGCATACATTGACAATCAACTCGATCAAGTATCTTTGTATTGTTTAAAAAGCTATCCACGGGTAAAACGTCTAGCTGGAATCGTAACCCGTTCCCTTTGAACATTACGGCCATAATCATACAAAAAAAATCGTGCACTTATAATCAACGGGAAATGTATATGATATATATACAATAATATATTAGGACGATGCTATTAGCTCTTTCGCCGATTGTATCGTATGCTTCCACATCACGCCCACTAATCATTATCCTGGCCTTTTTGGTAGGATTTTAATGAGAAAAACGAAACTTCTTTCTACTAGCAGGTCCCAACTGATATTTTCCTCGATGTTAGAAACATGCATCGCAACTACATATTATGGTAAGCACGTAACATCACCAGCAGCAACACCGTTCTGACTAAGCTTGGGAAGGACAAATGGCATTTTTCAGTTCATGCTTTTTAAGCCATCTCGAGCCAGCTCGTGTATCGGTCTCCTTGTGACACATTCAGATAGACTCCCTTACCTCATTAAGGTTCGCAAAAACAAACCGTATACTTTATGTACAGCAGACGTCTCCTACAGTAATATGTAGTTAATTGCCTATTATGTACACCATGTATCTTCATATTTTAAAAGAACTTATCAAGCGAGGTGATCCGGTTCGTAACTTCCATCTCCACCGTGCGATAGGCTTAGCAACTTTTACCTTCCGAAACTCTCCTGATATATCCTTGGCGTGACATAGTCTCAACATAGTGAGCTGTGCAAGTCTCTAGTGGAGGCTGTTAGCGATTAGGCGACGTACTCGAAAGCCTAGAAGTTCATGAGAAATTATTAGTTACCGTGGGAGAGAAATATCTAGTCAACTTGGTTCAATTATATTATGAATTTGGTATGGTTCGCTTTGTACAGTACGATCGACTATTTGGTCATCCAGCAAGTTTGTCATACACACCCTGCCCAGCCCCTCGTCCTTCGTCAGCCACCTTCGGTTCGACAGTTATCCTTTGTGGATTCGCTCTAAGCCACTAGTACTACTAATCTGTGTAGCTAATCTGAATGGCACCAATCCTCTTTGGGTATGCTGCACCATATGGGTTTTAGTGTCATCTGTACAGTCAGTGACGAATGCTAATTTGGAAAGGTACAAGGGAAGCTAAATGTACCACAGACGACTCCTTTTGATCGACCGGGCAACCAACGAACGACTTCATCAGGACTCCCCCTCCCCAGGTGGAAGACGCGTGTATAGAGACTGCTATAAGATGCAGGATGTTGGAACGGTGTTTGATGATTGCGTGTATCAATTTTCAAGCTTTTCGTTGGCCTGATTTGCTAGCTGCCTCCCGCTGCATGAACGACCACTTAAGGGTCCGGTTGCCGGGATAATAGCAGCTCTCTTCCTGTATATTTGCTTAACGGGAAAAGCAATGGAACAGGCATAATGGTCCTGTTTGGCAAGAACAGCTACACCGTGTTAGGTGACGGAGATTCCGAGAGATGACGGCTTGTGTTAGATGAATGATCAAAATCACATCCCTTGTGGCAGCCCCACACCTTACTTTTATGCCTTACCCCCATAACCTTTGCTAATTCTCTTCCTTGTAGAGGTTCTTGCTTTGTGGCATCTGTGCATAATTGGAGCAATGGTGAAAGATGTAAAGGCAAGCAAACGAAAAAGTAACAAAACAACGGGTATGGAAAGTCTGCTTCCATGCTATATACACGCAAGCACAAGATAGATCCTAGTGGGTATGCACACACTGTATATATATATATATATATATATATAAGAGCACGGGAAGAAAAAATAAAGACAGCGAGCGAGGGGAGAGCCAAATTTAGAAGCAGAGCATCATCTTAGGGACCATAACAAGCACTCGCAACCTACCGGCGCCTTTGCTGCCTGCGCCGTAGCAACGGTCCTAAAGCAGTGCCAGCGGCCGCAGCAGTGTAGTAATATAGTGCACGTGCCATTTTCAATAGCAGCTTCGCTCTTTTACCTTCCTTCTCACTCTGCACGAGCTAAGAGAGAAAGGAAAGAACTCTGTAA